AGAGGCAAGTGGATCCCTGTGAGTTTGAGGCCAGCCTGTTCTACACAATGAGTTCCAGGACTGCCAGGGCCATACCTTTAAAAAATATGAATATAGGCCATAGTGGTGCATGCCTTTAGAGTGCTAGACCAGCCAAGGGTATTCAGTGAGACCCTCTCTCAAAAATAAAACCATTGACATACTTTTTACAGTATATTGTATAATTCAAAGGTGATTAAAAGTATATAGGAAGATATGCTGAATGGGGTCTATAAAAATGTTACTGTAAATATTGTACATCCATGGATTTTGATATCTGAGGGGATCATGGGGCAACACACACAAGGATACTGATGGAGACAGACAGACAGACAGACAGACACACATACACACCTGTACCTGCATCTACACCCCTCCCACCCCCCCTCTCCAGTTCCTTCATCTCTGGCTTCTCTTTCAAGATCTTTTGTGTTACGATGAGCATGCTGGAGTCTGAATACTGCTCCATCTTTCAAGTCTAAGTGGTGACTAGATGGGTGTTCACTATACTATTCTTCCAATTTTTCTTTCAGTTTGCTTCTGTGTTTGAAAACTCCTTTTTAAACAGTTGAGTGAAAACAGAAGCTACTTTAATAGGCCAAATATCTAAATGTTTGTCACTTCTCTAGCATACTCTAGCCGCGTGGCAAAGGCGTGGACTTTTGGGGGCAGATTCCCAGCGGGCAGTGGCGGTGTGGTTGGTGTCTTTCCTCCTTTGGGTTTACTGTTGTCATTTGCAGGAAGCTGCTCCTGCTTCAGGAAAGGGAAGAGGAAGGCTGCTTGAGGGTAGTTCCTAATCACACTGAGGAGGAAAAATAGTTTAATTGTCTCCGTTGGAAAGAAGCAAAGAGCCTTCCCCAGCTCGCTCTTAAACCTTCCCGGCAGAAGTCTGGTCTGCCCTGGGAAATGTCTGTCAATCCCTTTGGAAGCAGGGCAAGCCCTTTGATAGCTCTGCTCCCTGGCTATGCTTCAGGGTTTTGTTACCTGATCCCCTGAAATGTCACCAGCAAGGAAGCCGGTGTCCTATTGCCCAGTTTCTGTCACAACCACCTAGCCTATCTTCAGATGAGCCTGGCTCCAAAAGTGGCAGACCTACCTTCCTATCTACTTGCTGTCTTATTAACAGGGAAAGTAGGATTTTTGTTTGAACAAGGGCAATTATTAAGCACACGGTTATCACCAGGCCTGGATGGATGAACTCTGAAGACAGGGTTGTTAAGGCTTCATTGTTATCTATCTGTCTACCTAGCTATCATCTATCTATCTATCTACCTACCTATATATCTATCATCTATCAAGATATACGCTATAATGGGGAACTTTCTGCTTGACTACACGAAATGGGGAGAGCATTTTTCTTTGCAGTCTCTTGGTAGCTTGCTGAATGTTTTATTCCGGTTTAGTGCTTACTTGGTATTTCTTTCCCTTCCACTTTTGCAGGCGTTCTGTGTTGCCAGGAGACGGTGCCTTTAATTTGTGCTTCCTTGGCAGGTGGTGTGTGTACCTTCCAGAGATGTGTGCTTGTGTGTCATCTTTCCTGTAGAAAGAAATGGTGCTGTTTCCTTCTAGCCCCACTAAGGTCCCATGGGCCCTTATGTCTAATGTGGCTTCTTTGGGAAGGGCCAGTGACTCTGCAGTTATCAGGACAGCCTCCCCCGAGAGGGTGTGGGAGGTGTTCACTCTGGGGCAAAGACAGAGGAGAGGATTTACAGGGAGTGCTGTTGACCCTCTGGGTAGTTCAAGAGGCTGCTCTGCCAATGCGCCCCCCCCCAGTATCAGTGTGTGTAGTGCAGTGGGAGAGAAGGAGGGTGACAGCTTTCTGCGTGTGCTGGGCTCTGGGGACTATGTTGGGCTCAGGAGACTAGGCTGGACACTGGGGAGGGCCAGGGCGTAGGTTGTGCATCCAACAGAGGCTAGGAGCTCCTAGGTAGCCCCTCAGCCTGCAGCCTTGAGGGACTGGCTAGAGAGCGACATCATGTGGCAGTTATGGAATTGTGGGGTCTCTACTGGGGTAAGTGAGCCAAATATGTCACTGCCTTGGTACAGCTGCAGCTGGGAAGAAAGTCACATGACGACCAGGATGCTGGGACCTTGATCAGGGTTATGTGTGGGACGAGATTCTCATGCAAATGATATTTATTGACTATCAATTAACAAGTTACAGTGATACCAACATTGCTGAGTACCCTTTATTTCAACGAAGTGTTGGAGTTAGGTTGGTTGTGTGTGAGGAATTGGTCCTTGTGGAGATTATAGGGGAGAATCAATTATTTTTTCCTCTCTTCCTTCTCTCTCTTTCTCTCCCTCTTTCCTTCCCTTCAACCCTCTGCATTTTGACTATATTCTTACCATGTGACTCAGGCTATCCTCAAATTGGTGATCCTGTCCAGTCCTAGGATTATAGGTGCAAAATACATTTTAAGTTATTTTTTTGGAGACATGGTCTTGGAACTTGCCATGTGCATGAGGTTGACCCCAGCTTCAAGGAGATCTACCTACCTGCTTCTGCCTCTGTCTCTCCAGAATGAGATGCTTTTAAATTGTCGTGGGGATCAAGAGTTCAGGGCCAGGCTGATACCAAGTTGGAAGTCCCTCCTGGGCCTTGTGAAACCCTATTATAACCAACAAACATGTTTACAATGCAAATGTTGTGTGCAGACATTTAGACAAGGAACTGTGGTCATTCTGTACCTACTTTCAGTGCTCATCACTAAGGAAATGGTGAGAGTCTCTAGTGGAGAGGAAAGATTGAGATTTTGTCTCTTTTAGGTTTTGTATTGTTCTTGTCTCATGCTGACCCCTCTGGGAGCCCTTTTCACAAGTGACTGTCTACCTGATGTCACACAATGAGCAAAATGCAGATGATTCCACCAGAGGGCAGTATATCGTGTTTGAGTGTTTGAGTATAACGTGTTTCAGTGTTTGAGATCTGGGCCTGCAGGATTAAAGGCACTGCAGCCAAGCTTTCTATTGACCCCTGAAAATTGCCCTATGACCGCCACAAGTGTCCTGTGAGTGCACTCTCACACACAAACAAACAGATAAAAATGTTTAAGGGCCGGAGACATGGTTCAGTTGCCAAGAGTGCTTGTTGCTTTTGCAGAGGGCCTGAGTTCAGATTCCAGCACACATAGCTAGAGGCTCACGACTGCCTGTAACTCCAGATCTAGGGAACCTAGTGTCCTCTTCTGGCCTTTGCATTGGAATTACATGTATACCCACTCCCAAGTACACAAATAATTAAAAACAAAAATAAAATCTTAAAAGAAAAGTGTGGGGGAGCTGGAGAGATGGCTCAGTGGTTAAGAGAACTGGTTGCTCTGTAGTGAGATATTCACCTTGTCCACACCTGTGGCATAGATGCCCACTGGGGGGTGGAGGCAGAGCCGGAAGTGATGAGTATCTCACTACAAAGAAAAGTTTGGGGGAGCTGGAGAGATGGCTCAGTGGTTAAGAGGACTGGTTGCTCTTCTAGAGACCCGGGTTCGTTTCCCAGCACCCACATGACAGCTCACAATTGCTTGTAATTCCAGGTCCAGGGGATTTGACATCATCACACAGATACCAATGCACATAAAATAAAAATAAATCATTAAAAAAAAATCTGTGAGAAAAAGAGAGAAAAGTTTGGGATCTGAGCATTTGCATCTTCTCTTTCAGAAAAGCAGAGTGTAGGCTGAAGGGTGAATCATTTTGGACCATAATGATGAAGGCAGTATCCTAGAGATGACAGAAGAACAAACTGAGTCAATGTAGCTTGATGGTTGAGAACTTCCACTGGGACTCAAAAGGAGGGTGTGTCTGTGTGGCTGCACACGATACACACGCACATACCTCATTGTCCAGAAAACCTTGCTGCTGAGGGGCCTTAGGCCATGTTTTTCTGCAAGACAGGCTGAGATCTGCACCCCCACCCCCACCGTGGTCAAAAACCTGTTACAAACAATGAAAACTGGGTACTTGGATTTAGTTACCTGGCAGCTTCTGCCACAAATCATTGAAGCAGCTGGGGTTTAATAGTCCACCTCCCATCTTCTCTCTCTGCTTCTCTGCCCATCTCTCTCTCTCTCCTTCTCTAGTCTCTCTCTCTTCTCTTCTGTCGCTTTTGTCCCCAGAGGGCTGTCTTCCTTCTCCCCTCCCCGCTTTTTCCATCCACTTTCCTGTGGATAAAAGCCCTCCAACCCAAGCTCTGTCTCATGGGTCTTTCTCTTGTGGGCCACTTTAAACAATTACAACAGAGTTGAGGATAGGTGAATGGTTAGAGCAGGTGGATGGAAGAAACTGCTGAAAAAGCAAACTGTAGAATGGCTGAGTTGTACAGGGATCAAAAGCTGGGGAAGGGAAGTGGAAGTTTACTTCCTGGGAGGAAGAGGGTTAGGGTAGGGGCGGGGTGATGAGTGCTGGAAGAGCCACACGTACTGAGGGGGACTTGTCCTAGGTTTCTTTGAAACCTAATACTTTGTCTTAGTTCACCATCCTACCATCTGAACATGTATTTACAATGGGAATTCATGGGCATTGGACCTGAGGCCCATCAGGTAGCCAAGGGCAAGAATCGTTCCATACTTCATGTGCATCAATGTAGCTTTCAATTCTTTTCATTAATTGTATTAACCAAGGTAAATACTGAGCAGATTAGGAAAGTGAAAACCACCTAACTTATAAGTTTGGAAAAGTGCGTGTTCTGTAAAGGACTGCATGTTGTATAACAGGCCATCTTGTTTGTCTTCACAGCATTTGTAGATCAGTGTCTGCAGATGGCTGTGGAGCAGTGCACACAGTTTCTCACAAAGTAAATCTTTAACAGATTCATCACAGAAAGCAATTTAGCAGAATGTTCCTCTTGGTGAATTTAGAGGAAGCAGCTCCTTACCTAACTCATCAAGGGAAGAGGGGCATAATAAGAAGGGGTTAGGATCTACTCTATAGTGAACCAGAACTTGTAAAAACCTTTGGCCTCACCCAGGATCAATTGTTTTTGCCTTCCTTTGAGCACAGTCATTGGTCACCAATGGCCTTTCAGGATCTCCTGGATCAAGTTGGCAGCCTGGGGAGATTCCAGATCCTTCAGATGAGTTTTGTTCTTATCTGCAATGTCATACTGGCTCCTCATTCTTTACTGGAGAACTTCACTGCAGCCATACCCAGTCATCGGTGCTGGGTCTCCATCCTTGACAATGACACTTTCTCTGATAATAAAAGTGGAATCCTGAGCCAAGATGACCTCCTGAAGATCTCCATCCCTCTGGACTCCAACCTGAGGCCAGACAAGTGCCATCGCTTTGTCCAGCCACAGTGGCATCTCCTTCATCTGAATGACACCTTCTCCAGTGTGGCAGAGCCAGAGGTAGAACCTTGTGTGGACGGCTGGGTGTATGATCAAAGAACCTTCCTCTCCACCATTGTGACTGAGGTACATGGCTTCATTTCCTGTCATAAATTCATGATGGATGTTTAGCAATAGTATGAATAGTGCACATGCTTTGAGCTTAGAGTTCATCTTTTAGCCAATATTGATCACTTACCTATAAAATGTGAAACACATATTCAATGTGTATAACTTCAAAAAATGAAGAGGACTTATTCCCCTGGTTATTTCACTCTAGGGGATGACTACAGTTTAAGAAGTAATTCTTACATGTCAAATCAGTGTAAGCAAATAATTCATTGCTCTTTTATAAATATTACAAGTCAGTGTTTATTTTTCAGCTTTAATTTCAAATAATAAATATCTAGGAGATTTAACAAAACCATAGTGGGTTGTCTGGGAGTATGGCTCACTGGTAGAATGCTTGCATGGTGTGTGTGAGCCCAGGATTCAATTCCTAGCACTCTAAAGAGTCTCAGTACTTTCCCTTCTGTGCTAGGATAGAATGGGGTTGTGCACAAGGCCTTGAACTCCAACTTCATTACTGTCATATATCCATATTTAACATCTATATCTATCATATCTATCTGTCTGTCTATCACCTATGTACATATGTACGTACATATGTATGTATGTATCTATCTATTTACCTATCTAATCTAATAAAGTCAGGGCCCAATCTCAGCCCTCAAAGTGCTATGAGAGGCCATGCTCAGGTATAGGATCCAGTACATTTTTTTTAAGGCTCTCAAATTATTGCAGTATATGGTCAAGTTTGAGAATTTCTTACCATGGGATGCAAGTCAGTAGTACACCCTAAAGAACTAGGTCCAAGTTACTAGAGGAAGATTCCTGGAGCCAGGTGTGTTTAAGCTGAGACTAGGATTGTAGAAGTCAGGTGGTGTTGAAATGGGAGAGGAGTTTAGGGGGCTGCTAGAATGAGACTTGAGGGTCACATTGATGCATTTTTGTATAGTCTGACTGACAGGCTATAAGTCTTACTCTTCTGGGTTTCATATCTTTCAGTGGGACCTGGTGTGTGAATCTCAGTCACTGGATTCAATAGCCAAGTTTCTATTCTTGACTGGTATGTTTGTAGGAAATACACTATATGGCCACTTAACAGACAGGTGAGTGTCACTGGTTTTTGGCTCTTTCTATGTATGAGTATTTTAGGCACCTGTGATAGCCACTTTAAATTATATTCTTCTAGCTGTACCTTGAGTCAATGTGATGAGTGTTGTTTGAATAGAAGTCTATGTGTTGTATGGACACAGGAATCCCCTCCATGAGATATGGGGGTATATCAGGATGGGAGCAGAGAGATAGTGTCACAGCGTGGTTAATAAATATGAGAAAGTCAACTATGGAAATGACACAAAGATGTTCAATGCAATGCTTTAATCCTATTTGAATGTTCAAATATAGAAAATAGCATTGATGCTCTTGTCAGAGGAACTGTGTTTTCTCCCTGCTGGACACTGCACTGAACAGCTGTGGTGCACGAGAAGGGACTTTGTGTCTCCATTTCTCAAGCACAATAGTGGAATGTCCTTTGATACCTGTGGTTCCACTGGTATGTTGGGAAGCTATGTCTGTCACTTTTATTTTTGCTTCTGCCAAAGACACAGGCATATGAAACAATTCATCTAATGACAACTGTCATCACAGTTTGTGGGATAACCTAGATCTGGTGCCTGAAAAAAAACACCTATTTTTAAATAGAGGACCATTTCTGTCAAGCAAGTTCTGCCTTTTCCTGTAGTGGTTCCTCAGGACCCGCTGGGTCCTCAGATAGGACACAATTCACACAGCTCCATTGTGCCTCTTTTATTTCAACTTTAAGCATTTAGTGTCTGTTTGTCTGTCCATCTATCCGTTCTCCCATCCATCATCCACCCATCCATCTTTCTATCTATTAAATGCACATGATGTGTGTGTGTAAGCAAACGTGCCCCAATTTGCAATGTGAAGATTAGAGGACAACTTCATGGAGTCAGGTTCTCCCCTTTCATCTTTGGTGGCAGATGGAGAGCGTACTGAAGTTGCCAGGCATGAGATGCAACTGTACTGGCTTTGCACCCTTTTCATAAGGCCACCACTACTCCTTTCATGAGGGTTCCACACTCATATTTTTTTTTAAAAAGAGTTCTTTGACGATTTCACAGTTGTCAGCAATGTATATTTTACCCACCCCAACTGCCCCTCCCCACTCCTTTACAAGTACCCCAACAAATCTCACTCTTTACATAGTCCCCTTAAAAGAAGCCATCATGGTTTTAGCACTATTAAGACGTTTTTTATGGTGTGGGTGTTTTACCTGTATGTATGTCTGTTCTCCATGTGTGTGCCTTGTGCTAATGGAGGCTAGAAGATGGTGTCAGTTACCCTTCAACTGGAGTGATAGATGGCTTTGAGCTGCCATGTGGGTGATGGGACTAGGACCTGGGTCCTTAGGAAGACCAGCCAGTGCTCTTACCCACTGAGCCATCTCCTGAGCCCTACATGGTATTTCAAGCAAAGTATGTTTGTGTGGTTTTCTTCCTCCACATCCCCTCCTGCACTCTCTAGCTCTCCTTTCTGTTGCTGCCCTCTATATTCTTTTCCTTTCCATGTCCCTTGTCTTTTTCCCGCCCTCATTCTTCCCGATCACCAAGTATTTGGCCTCTTTTCTGGGTTCCTCAGGCTTTACCCACATTTATACCTGTTTACATATGTGCATTATAATTATGATCCTCACATATGGGAGAACTGGTATCATTCCCTTTGGATCCACCCATTTCCTGCAAATCTCATGATTTCTTTACAGCTGAAGAATATTTCGTTGTGTGCATGTACTACATTTCCATTATTGGTTCATCTGTTGATGAGCAACTCGGCTGTTTCTGTGGCCTTGCTGTCACACATATAGCAGCAATAAAAAATGACGAGTAGGTGTCTCTATGGCCGTGAGTTATATGGGTAGGTCATATGGTAATTTTAATTTTTTTAGGAACCTCCCCACCTATTTTCATTCCCACCAGCAATGAATAAATGTTTCTCTTTTCCCACGTCATCTTCAATATTTGTTTTCAGATTTCCTGATGATAGCCATTCTGCTCAGGGCATCCCTGCTCACAGTTAACAAAATCTGAAAGGTCCCTCTTAGTACTATCAGACCAGAGAGTAATTTCCCAAGTATGAGTCCTGGAGGCACATCAGACTGTAGCAAATTTGCTGCTCTTCATGGAAGAGTACTGTGCAAGTGCCAAGTAAGGAATTTTGGCTGGAAGTAATGTTCACTCATATAACTCAAGTCTTGTGATATATCCTGTTTTTTTTTTTTGTTGATTAATGAGAGTAATATTAAAATCTCTCACTCCACTAAACAATTTTTCCTTTAACTTTGTGTTTTTGTTGTATGTATTTGAAAGTACTGTTTACATAAGTGCAAATTTGAGATTCAGCATTATAATTTGTTCTTCCTCTTCTCAGTGAAGGCTCATTAAAATATTTATTCATAGTATTATTTGTGGATTGTCTTATTTTATTTTTGGGGGTGGTTAATACAATGTTTTCAACACCAGGAATACTGAGGGTGATGAGTAAGGAGACTGGTATCTGGGTATGAGGCAGGAGAGAGAGATCAGGGAAAACAAAGCTGGTTTTAGGAGGTTCTAGCTGACTCCTACAGAGCTTCTCTCTGAGGAACATTCAAGAGGCACCTTTGCCTGTACTTAGTGTATTCTCAACTTTGTGAGTACTTACACCTTTATACATATTTGTATATCTAACTGTAAAAGACTGAATTGTGGGTAAAGACAGCTTCCAAGAACGTATCGTTCTTGCCAGGAAGGAAGACACCCAAAGACCACCCCAGGGGAAGGCAGGAAGGAACATGGTATATCACGACTTCTAAGTTCAGATATAAGAGGTAGACTTCACACTGTGGCTTATTGAGCAAGTATCTCTGTATTAAGATGTAGAGTGCTGGGGCTGGAGAGATGGCTCAGTGGTTAATAGCACTGACTACTCTTCCAGAGGACCCAGGTTCAAATCCCAGCACCCGGTTTAAAACTGTAGCTCCACTTCCAGGGAATCTGACACATTCATACCAATGCACATAAAGCAAAAATAATAAGTTAAAAAAAGATGTAGAGTCCTTTGGATATGAGCCCATAAGTGTCATACCGTAAGGTATTTGTGAATAAAATGAAGCAAGTATATTGGGCTGGAGAGATGGCTCAGTGGGAAAAGGTCCTACCAGGCAGCAACCCTGCTGAACTGTTTTTGGTCTCTTAATCTATATAAGGGTAGAAGCTTGACCATCTACTATCTCTTCAGTCCCAGCACTGCTTATTTCTTTCTTTTTAAAATATCTTTTATTTCAACTTTTATTGACCATTGCTTTTTTTGAACTATGATCAAGATAAACTTTGACATCTTGTTCTACCTAGACATGGTGTGAATTACTTTCCCTTAGAGGACAGCAACCAAGATTATTGGGGATAGAGGGGATGTGGGAGGACAGATCTTCCCACAGAGTCTCACTACATAGCCAACCTTAGCAAACTATGTGTGTTCCAAATAGTCTTCAATAATAATCTTTATGCCTCAATCTTTGTGTCTGGAATTGCCGGTATGCACTACCACACCTGGGCAAACATCTGTTCTGATATCTACTCTGCTAATATTAACATAGCCTCTTCCTCCATCATATTCTTTTAGGAATATAATTTTTACCATCTTCTGAGAATTTCATATGCACAAGTGTTATATTTTATCATATTCATTTCAATCCCCCCTAACTCCTTCCAAATGTATTCCCCATTCCTACAGTCCCCCAACTTTGTGTTCTCCCCACCCCCTCTTTAAAAAAAAAGCTGTTGATTTCAATTTGTGCTGCCCTGGGTGTCAGGCCATTCATCGACTAGAGTCTACACCCTTGAAGAACTGAGTCTCCTTTCTTCAGTAGCCATCCGTTATTAATTGCTTCTCAGCTATGGACAAGGACTCATGAACTCCTCCCCACTTCATGCTGGTGTTGGCTGGCTTGATCTGTGCAGGTCTTGGTGGTCAACCATAGCTTCTGCAAGCTGATGGGTGCAGTGTCCTGTTAAGTCTAGAAGACTCTGCTTTGCTCCATCTTTCTGACCTTTGGCTCTTAACAATCTCTCCATCTTGACTTCCTCAATGGTCCCTGAGCCTTTGATGCAACCATTTTATTCTTACAGTTCACATGGTGTCAGAAGCCATGTCATAAGAACAGCAGATGGTAATTAACATCCAAGGTGTCAGCACACCAGGAGGAAACTCTCTGATGGGAAACCTCATTTAGGCAAGGCCACAAGGCTATAGACTCCAGAATACCTTTTGCTTCTGTCTGTAACTTCACAAGTACTGCTGCAAAATTCCCTGTATTGTAGTGTGTTTATCTCATAAATACATTCCCAGTCTACTGGGCATTTTTGTCTGTGATTGTTTAAAAGGTGACTCCCCCTTAAGAGATATTGTCTAATTGGATTTATAATGTTAGTTTCTACAGAGTTTTGATGAATAAAAATGAATACAAAGAATTACTACATGGTCAGGGCTTATGAATTTCCCTAGGAGCTGTTTTAGATCACAGCTCAATTTGACATTAGGAAAACAGTTTTGTATTTCTCTAGCTGCCAAGATGCTATGCACTATTAGCTGATATAAAGCTTCAAAATAGTTTTAGATTAGACCAGATGCCTTGCTAGTGGTTTTTAAGATAAACACTTTCCATTAAGAATCAATCTACCTGAAGACCCTGCAATACTACTTTTGGGCATATACCCAAAACATGCACATACCACAAGGACATTTGCTCGATTATGTTCATAGCAACATTACTTGTAATAGCCAGAACCTGGAAACAACCTAGGTACCCCTCAACTGAAGAATGGATAAGGAAAATGTGGCACATACATACAATGGAGTACTACTCAGTGGTAAGAAACTGTGACATCTTGAAATTTGCAGGTAAATGGTCAGAACTAGAAAAAACCATCCTGGGAAAGGTAACCCTGACCCAGAAAGACAAATATAGTATGTACTCACTCATAAGTGGATACCAGACATAAAACAAAAGATACCCAGCCTATAATACACAACTCCAGAGAAGCCATAACCCTCTTCCAGAAACAGATAGAAACAGATGCAGAAATCCACAACTAACCATTGGCACAAGCTCCTGGAGTAAAATTGAAGTGAGGGAGGAGCAATAATATGAACAAAGGAGTCAAGACCATGATGGAGAAACCCACATAATCAGCTGACCCGAGCTAGTGAGAGATCACTGACTCAGGTCTAACAAATGGGGAACCTGCATGAGACAGAACTAGACTCCCTTGATATAGGGGACAATGATGCTTGCTGGGTAGTGGCAGTGGGTCCAAATGCACAGACTTAGTGGAGCCCATTCTATGTGGAGAGATACCTTGCTCAGCCTAGTGGAGGGCTTGGTCCTACCTCAACAAGATGATGGGACAGACTTAATAGACTTCCTACAGGAGGCCTTACTCTCTCTGAGGGGCAGATGGCAGGTGGGGGGAGAAGAAGGAGAGGAGGGAGGGGGAGCCGTGATTGGAAAGTAAAAAATAAATTAATAAAAAGTGGGTGAAAAAATTCCTTGCTAGTTCTGGCCAATAAATTAGGACAATGATTAACTCTCTGCACAAATTCCTAACCTCAGTTTCATGGTATGTGTTTATAACCTGAAGACTCAAAGTTCAGCTCACCAGCCAACTAAGTTTTTATGTTCAGTCCTGAAATTGCACATGGGACAGGGAGCCATTAATAAATATCTAGAAACAAAAATGCCTTTTGTTCAGATATACTGAGAAGAAAGATTTTCCTTTTTAAAGTTTATTTATTTATTTTTATTATTTTACATATCAATCCCAGTTCTCTCTGCCCTCCCCCCTCTCTTCCACTTTCCCATGCCCCTCCACCCTCCTATTTCATTCCCCCCCTCCACATGTAGGGTGATGCCCTCCAGGAGGGGTCATCTAAATCTGTCAAGTTATTTGGAGTAGGGACTAGGCCCTTGCTCCTGCCTCTAAGTTAAGGGAGTATCCCTCCATGGGGAATGTGCTCCCAAAGTCTTTTTGTGCACCAGGGATACATCCTGGTTCCACTGTCAGAGGTCCCTTAGACTTCCCAGGTCTTCTAACTGAGACCCATGTTTCCCACAGAGTAGTATTCCATTGTGTAAATGTGCCACATCTTCTTTATCAAATAATGCTGCTATGAACATAGTTGAACACATGTCTTTGTTGCATGGATATGGATCATTTGGGTATATGCCCAAGAGTGGGATTGCCTGGTATTGTGGTAGACTGATTCCCATTTTCCTGAGGAACCGTCATACTGATGTCCAAAATGGCTGTACAAGTTTGCACCAGCAGTGGAGGAGTGTTGAGGGGAAAGATTTTTCTAACTGGCCAGGGTACAGAAAATAATTCACTTCATAGCCCAAGAAAGAGTTACATGGTTTTTTTTTTTTTTGGTCTAGGGTTTCGCAGAGTACAGAAAATATGTTTTGAGATTTAAAAGTGCTATGTTCTGCGAGTGCTTATGAATTACTTTTCTTCCATTTAGCCTAAGAACTAATTAACTTTAGACCTTTGTCCATTAGAACTGTTAATCTTTGATTATAATTATTTGTCTTCAAGAAATGTCACAGTGTACAGTCAATCTTCAAAATAAAGATTATACAGAGAAACCTGATATTCCAGGGTTACACAGAGGTCCTATAGACTGCCCAGACCTTCTAGCTGACACCCACATTCAGGGGGCCTGGTTTGGACCTATGTTGGTTCCCCAGCTGTCTGACTGGGTTCATGAGCTCCTCCTTGTTCAGGTCAGCTGTATCTATGGGTTCTCCAGCATGGTCTTGACCCCTTTGCTCATCACTTCTCCCCCTCTACAACTGGATTCCAGGAGTTCTGCTCAGTACTTAGCTGTGATGTCTGCTTCTGCTTCCATCAGCTACTGGATGAAGGCTCTATGATGGCATTTAAGGTAGTAATCAATCTCATTATAGGGCAAGGGCATTTAAGGTAGCCTCTCTACTATTGCTTAGAGTCAGTTGGGGTTAACCTTGTGGATCTCTGGACATTTCCCTAGTGGTAGATTTCTCTTTAAACCTATAATGGTTCTCTCTATCAAAGTATCTCTTTTCTTGTTCTTCTCTATTCTTACCCCAACTCAACCTTTCTGATCCCTCATGTTCTCAACATCTAATATCCCTCTATCAGTTAGAGATCATTCAGGCGTGTTCCATATTAGTGGTCATCCTAATCTCTGTACTGAATTATATCACTTCTTTACCTCTTCATCTAGCTTCTCTTGTGTTCCTCAAACTATCCCTCAAGTTCATGAGCTTTTCCTTTATTATTTTACATATGCACACACCCACAGATAAGTGTAACTTACTAAGCCCTACTGTATGTGTATGGTTAGGGCTGACACTTGGGATTGGATAACCTACCAGGGGGTCCATCCCTGAAGAAGACTGATTCTCCTCTTAGCAGTCATTAATTTCCCATAGCTCTTCAACTAAGGTGGGGGTCTTATAAGATAGCTCTCATCCGTGTTGTCAAGTCAACGTGTGCTGGTCTTGTTTAGGTGACCATATTCTTCAGATTTTATGGTTATAACTCCTGTTGTACATAAAAGAAACTATTTCACAGTAAACATCCTGGCCATCTGGCTTTTATAATCATTTTATCCCCTCTTCTGTGATGCTTTCTGAGCTTTAGTGGTTGCATTGTAGATGCACCAGTTGGGGCTAAGCATCCCAAGGCCAGATATTCTCTGCATTTTGTTTGTGCACATGCTTGAGGGTACATTCATAATGTTGGAAAGACATGAATGAACGAGGGGTTGGGGCTATGGTGACAAGGGATGAAGGCTATCTACTTGTATACTGCAGATCAGAAAGTGGAGAACAGATAAACACTGGTTCCAGGCTCTCTACTCCAAGTCTTCAGAGAAGTACTTCCTCCAACGATGCCCCATATTCCCAAGGTTCTAGAACAGTGCCAACAACTAGGGGCCATGAATTTCAACATTCTCTTTCTTTTGTACAACCTTTTCTGTTTGTTTTCTAACTGCTTCACAGTGGGAATTCATAAGTGTCCTGAGCTGCCTTCTGTGAATAGATAACTAGGTTACCATCAGAGGTTTGCTGTCCAAGAAGTAGAACATGCACTAATTTTACAGATGACTCTTTCCGATGAGAATTCGTATGGTTTAGATGATGTACCTATCTATGCATTGTTTTGACTAAGTTTTACAAAGACTGACACTTTATCATTTTGTCTAACACACTACTTTTTATCCATTCCTTGTTCTAAATTGAAGCACAAACTTCATACAATTGAATGTATAATTAATGTCATAATGAGAGTAGCAGATAGCACAGTGGTTCATCAGTTACCCTGCTTATTTAAAATCAGCCAGTACACAGGTTTTTATTCAACTGGCCAGAGAGGATTCCCCTCTTAGCTGACAATTAAACTCTGATTTTTGACTTTTTGAATCTTTCTATTTTGTATTTCTTCACTCTTCATCTGGCTTAATTATTTCTTCAGACTTTTGTACTAGTTCTTATACCTACATTGTGGCTTTTTTTGTTTTTGTTTTTATTTTTTGCTTTTCGAGACAGGGTTTCTCTGTATTGCTTTGGAGCTTGTCCTGGAACTAGCTCTGTAGACCAGGCTGGACTTGAACTCACAGAGATCCACCTGACTCTGCCTTCCAAGTGCTTGAATTAAAGGCGTGCACCACCAAAGTCCAGATATATTGTGGCTTTTAAATTTTTTTTATTAATTTATTTTTTACTTTTCAATCTCAGTTCCCCCTCCCTCCTCTCCTCCCATTCCTCCTACTCCCACCTTCCATCTGCTCCGTAGAGAGGTGAGGCCTCCCCTAGGAAATCTACTAAGTCTGTCCCATCATCTTGTTGAGGCAGGACCAAGGCACCTCCCCAACCCCACATCCCTGTGTCTAGGCTGAGCAAGGTATCTCTCCATATAGAATGGACTCCACTAAGTCAGTTTGTGCATTAGTGTTAGATCTTGGACCCACTGCCAGTGGCCTCATTTATTGTCCCAGTCACATCATTGTCACCTATATTAGGGGAGTCGGGTTCAGTCTTATGCAGATTCCCCATTTGTCAGACCTGAGTCAGTGATCTCTCACTAGCTTGGGCCAGCTGATTCTGTGGGTTTCCCCACCATGGTCTTGACTCCTTTGTTCATATTATCATTCCTCCCTCACTTTGATTGTACTCCAGGAGCTTGTGCCAATGGTTAGTTGTGGATTTCTTCATCTATTTCCATCTGTTTCTGGAAGAGGGTTCATACCATTTATAAACTCAGAAAGTAGCTTGGTTATTCTTGGTTATTTTTGATTATTTATCATTTTAAAGTGTCTTCAATTGGTATTCCAATTGCATTGTTCCTATAATCAAACCCTTCCTTTCCCTCAGGTTTGGGAGGAAGTTGCTGTTCATATGTGCATTACTGCAGATGGCCATCACTGAAACCTGTGCAGCATTTGCTCCCTCCTTCCTCGTCTCCTGCTTACTACGTCTGCTGGCTGGGATCTCTGTCTCATCCATTCTGACGAATAGTAGCTTGCTCAGTAAGTCAAAGCTTTAGATGGACATTTTCTTTTGTTTTTTTTTTTTATGAACAAATTTATTTTTTATTTTACATACCAACCCCAGTTTCCTTCCCCCTCTTACCCCTTCTCACCCTCCACCCACTCATCACAGGGGGCAAGGTCTTTCTTGAGGAGTCAACAAAGTCTGGCACACCAAGTTGAGGCAGAACTAAGCCCCTCCCCCCGTATCAAGGCTGAGCAAGGTGTCCCACCTTAGGGAATGGGCTCCAGAAAGTCAGTTCATGCCTCTGGGTTAGGTCCTGATGCCACTGCCAGGGCTCCCAAACAGATAAGTCATGTAACCATCACCCACATTCAGAGGGTCTAGTTAGGTCCCATGCAGGCTCCCCAGCTGTCAGCCCATAGTCCGAAAGTTCCTGCTTGCTCCGGTCAGCTGCTGATAGGCATTTTCTAAGCTTTGGTTTTGACCTGGATGTCCTTCCAACTTTAATACGAAGCCAAGATTCATTTTCTTTTCTTTCAGTGATAGAATGGACAAAACCCAAATTCCAAGCCATGGCAACAGCACTGCTATTATGTGCTGTGGCAATTGGACAGATAATATTGGCAGGCCTGGCTTTTGCTTTTCAAAACTGGCACCACCTCCAGCTGGTGACATCTGTACCAATATTTTTCTTACTTTTACCCACAAGGTACGAATTTCTTTTCTCTTCTGTGTTATGGAATCCTGGGATGACCATGGACATTTGGAATCAGGACAAAAGAAATTCATTTGTCCTTGGTCTACATCTGACAGTGGGCACACTTCTTTGTATTTGGAGACATAAGGATAAGCACGACTCTCAGATGAACCAACGAAACTGAATTAAACTTGAATTTAAGATCATAAGTATCTTTATAAAATTGTACATGTGTGGCAAGAGATATAATTATACTGAGGAGGGCTCATTATTTATATGAAAATTCTAATTATGAGTCCTGATTTTTTATTAATAACTGGATAAAATCCCCTTATATTCATTCTGTGGATAAATAAATTATTTCTGAGGAAGTGTATTTAGTGCATACATATTATGACTATTAGATATGGAATATTTAAGAGAAATGTGTACTATTTGGTATTTAAATTTTATTATACATAAGTTAATTTTATTTATTAGAAAAAAGCTACCTTAAAAAAGAGAAGGTAGAAATGAATCCTTACCAGAATGTTCTTTGGCTTTCTATGTGTCTTTGCTACTAAGTTTTAATTACTCAGGTTATAATAGAATTTTTGCAAAAATATTTCATTTCACATGAGAAAATCTTTAAAGAATTAGATTGCCTATACTGTAGTTTGTATTTGTATGAGTGGATTTAAAAAGAAAACCATTTGGAAACTTGTGACATTTATCTTTGCAGTGATATGGATAAAAGATAAGAAGTAAATTATTCTTACTGTTTAATTAAGGAAGAACATTCATGGTTTCTTTAGTTTAAAATGGTAGGCAGGGGTCTGGAGAGATGGCTCAGTGGTTAAGAATTTTGGAAGCTCTTCCAGAGGTCGAAGGTTTGATACATAGTAGCTCACAAGCACTTATCACCTCCAGTTCCAGGGAATCCAGTGCCCTCTTCTGGCCTCCAAGGGCACCAGGCATGAATGTGGTACACAGAAATACACCTAGGCAAGACACCCTTTCACATAAAACAAATTAAAAATAAAGTCTTAAAGTGGTACAGGCCTGGTACTCTGGTCCATACACCACCCAGAGCCTGCCTCCCCCTTACACTTGGTCCTGCTGCGCCCACTGCTCAGGGTGAGCATTGGGCCAGAGTGCCGGTCCAACAACCCTCCACCTCCTTGGAACTTCCTAGGTTGGCTCTGAGCATACTGGAACTGCCTACCCACATAGGACCACCTTGAGCCTGTACTCACCTGATCTTTGGGGCCCATCATCTGCCCTCTGCTGGAGACCTCCTAGAGAGCTCTGATCATCCAGAGTTACAGACATTGAACTCCTGACCCACATATACCCACTGGGAGAGCAGGAGAGAGAGAGAGAGAGAGAGAGAGAGAGAGAGAGAGAGAGAGAGAGAGAGAGAGAGAGAGAGAGAGAGAGAAAGAGAGAGACTCCACCTGCACCCACTGGAAGAAGTAATGGGAAGACAGCAATACAAGAAAACACCCAACAATAGAAAGACCAGTATGACACCATCAGAATCTAGGGACTCTACATCAACTAGATGTGAACACACCAAAGCAGATGAAGTGAAAGACCTGTGGAGGGCATGGACCCTCACACCCTGACTCAGGAAAGGTGCCCCCCCCCCCAAATCATTCACGAGAAGCGGTCTTGATGAAAAAGCATGAGGTTTTTTTTTTTATGTTCCAGTACACTGGGGTCCACAGCCATACTCCACATGGGGTAGAGGACTGGGAACCCTAGGTACAGGGTTCAGACAGCTTTTATAGGGTTACAACAAAGCCCGCACATCACAAACCAATCATCTCATAGCATCTAGTGCAGACCAATCAATTTGAACTATCCAAGCCCAGGAAGTCTGCTTTTGCTAGGGCTCATTTTCTGTTCATTCACTCATAGGTGCTGTGGTAAACCACCCTGTTGTAAACAGTCAAGAATGTGACCTTTTGCCTACTCACTTCTAGGGGGCAGAGTCTAGGGAGAGTTAGGCTAAATTTTTCCATCCTTACAGAAGCAGAAGAGAACCACTTAAAAAATATCTTCATAAAAAAGATAGAGGTCCTCAAAGATGATATGAGAAACTCCCTTAAAGAAATGGAAGAAAAAACAAATAAAAAATTGGAAGAAATAGAGGAAAGGCCAAGCAAGAAATGCAAGAAATGAACAAATCTCTTAAAGAAAGCAAGGAAAGCCAAGGGGGGGGGGTGAGAAACAATCAAACAGATGAAGAAAGCAATTCAAACATTTCAAGACCTGAAAACTAAAATAGAGACAATAAAGAAAACACAAACTGAGGGAATGCTGGAAATAGAAAAACTGGGAAATGATCAGGAACTACAGATGCAAGCATAACCAACAGAATATAAGAGATTGAAGAGAGAATTGTAGGCACTGAAGATAAACTAGAGGAAATAGATTCATTGACCAAAGAAAATCTTAAATTCAATAAATCTTTAACACAAAACACCCAGGAAATGCGGGACACCGTGAAAAGGCCAAGAATAATAGGCATAGAAGTTGAAGAAGCTCAGCTCAAAGGTGAAGAAAACATATTCAACAAAATCATTGAAGAAAACTTTTCCAGTCTGGAGAAGGACATGCCTATGAAAGTACAGAAGCATATCAAACACCAAATAGACTGGACCAAAAAAAAAAAAGTCCCCTCGCCACATAATAATCAAAGTACCTAACATACAGAATAAAGGAAGAATATTAAGAGCAGCAAAGGAAAAAAAAAAAAAAAAAGGTCAGGTAACATATAAAGGCAGACCTATCAAAATTACACCTGACTTCTCCATGGAAACTCTTAAGGCCAGAAGGTCCTGGATAGATTGTTCTACAAATACTAAGAGTTCACGGATGCCAGCCCAGGCTACTATACCCAGCAAAACTCTCAGTCACTATAGCCGGAGAAAACAAGATATTCAATGACAAAGCCAGATTTTCACAATACATATCCACAAATTCAGCACTACAGAAAGTTTTGGAAGGAAAACTCCAACCCAAGGAAGTTAACTACACTCACAAAAACATAGGCAATATATAATTCCACTTTACCAGAACCCAAAAGCAAAAGCTGATGGGAGATGTAATTCTGTAAATATGTTTCTCTTATTGGTTAATGAATAAAGCCAAGTTGGCCAATAGGAAAGTAAGATAAGCGGGACTAGGAGACAGGGAGGATTCGGGGAGAGGTAGGAGAAGATTCAACATGTAGGACCAAGAGTACAGAGGTCCCAACCCTCTCTCTGATAAGATAAGACCACATGGAAATATTTAGATTAATAGGAATGGATTAATATTTAAGACAGAGCTAGCCAATAAGAATATTAGTTTTATAGCTAATACAGTGTCTCTATGTGTTATTTGGGGCTGACACGGCTGTGGGACCAGGCTGGCAAAAACTGCTTATAACAAAAAGTGGGGGGTAAATATACTCACAATACCACCGCCAACAAGAAATCTAAAACAAACAAGAATTAAGAATCAATGGTTCTTACTTTCCCTCAACATTAATGGTCTTAACTTGCTTATAAAAAGACACAGGCTAACAGAATGGATATGAAGACAGAATCCATCCTTCCGCTGCATACATGAAACATATCTAAGCTTCAAAGACAGACATTCCTCAGGGTAAGGGGAAAATTCTTCCAATCAAATGGACTCAAGAAGCAAGCAGGTGTAGCTATCCTAATATCTAACAAGTTAGAATTCAAACCAAAATCAATCAACAGGAATGAAGGTCATTTCATATTCATCACAGGAGAAATCCATCAGTACAAAGTCTCAATTCTGAACATCTATGCCCCAAATACAAAGGCACCCACATTGGTAAAAGAAACATTACTAAAACTCAAAGCTCATATAAAACCTCACACACTCATAGCGTGAGACCTTAACACCCCACTCTCATCACTAGACAGGACCACCAGGCAGAAACTTAACAAAGAAACAAAAGAACTAACAGAAGCTACATCCCAATTGGGTTTAACAGAACATTCCATCCAAACACAAAAGAATATACCTTCTTCTCAGCTCCACATGGAACCTTCTCTAAAATAGACCATATACTAGGCAAACCTCAACAGATACAAACAAATTGGAATAGTCCCCTGTATCTTATAAGACCACCATGCTTTAAAGTTAGAATTCAACAACAACACAAATTGCAGAAACTCTACAAACTCATGGAAACTGAACAATTCACAATTGCACCATACCTGGGTCAAGGAAGAAATAAAGAAATTAAAGATTTCCTAGAATTCAACAAGAATGAAGACACAACATGCCCAAACTTATGGGACACTTTGGATGCAGTGCTATGAGGAAAGTTCATTGCACTAAGTGCCCATATGAAGAAAACGGAGGAGGATAGTTGCATTAGAGAATTAACAGCACAACTGAAAGCCTTAGAACAAAAAGAAGCAAACTCACCCCGGAGAAGTAGATGCCAGGAAATAGTCAATTTGAGGGCTGAAATCAATAAAGTAGAAACTAGGAAAACAATACGAAGAATTAATGTAACAAAGAGTTGGTTCTTTGAGAAAATCAACAAGATAGACAAACCTTTATTCAAACTAACCAAAAAGCAGAGAGAGAGAACATGCAAATCAACACAATCAGAAATGAAAAGGGGGGACATAACAACGGACACAGAGGAAATCCAGACAATTTTCAGGTCATACTTTGAAAACCAGTACTCTACAAAATTCTAAAATTCAAAGGAAATGGAAATATTTCTGGATAGCTATCACCAAAATTAAATCAAGAACAGATAAGCAATTTAAATAGACTTTTAACCCCTAATGAAATAGAAACAGTCATCAAAAGCCTCCCAACCAAAAATCAAAACAAAAAACAAAACAAAACAACAACAAAACAAAACAAAACAAAAAACAAAAACAAAAACAAAAACAAAAAAAGACCAGGGCAGAATTCAATACTCCTCAAATTGTTCCACACAACAGAAGCAGAAGGTTCATTACTAACCTTTTTACGAGGCTTCAATT